AGGACATGACTATCCATCCTCAGAAGGAATCCTTACTTGGAAACTCCGACGTCTCAGCATGTGAAAGACACTGCTCAGAGAAAGCAGGATATGTGAAAAATGAATAATGCCCTCGCCGGGACTTGAACCACGGACCTCTCGAATACGCGTCGTGTTAGCGTTACACCCCGAAGGTATGCTGGAAGGAGGGAAAAATAACCTTATTGCATAACTGAACAAAAAAAATTTGTTCGAGTACGGTGATAAATCAGAAGATTTGCCAGTAAAGAGAAGGGGACAACTTATCGACACATCAACAGGTTCGACATTAAAATCTAAATTTAAGCAACAGCAGTTCTAAACATTTTGGTTGTAGATTCATGCACAATAGCTGGAAATTTTTCATACAGCTATAAACATTTTAATGTCATTTGTAACTATGTATTTAAGTGAAATATCCGAACGTATGTGGCAACGAAAACAAAATATAAAAACAAATTAAATGCAGACTATGAAATGCGACTGTAAATAACATCAGTAGAGCTTGGAGAATTTGTGCAAAAAATGAAATGAATATAATGTAAGGGTAGGTGACACCTGGAGCATTAGTTAATCCTATTAATGAATAATTTACATCAGCTTTATGTTACTTTAAACATTGTACTACTTTAAACATTGTTTAAAAATCTGGTTACAATTCAAAACTTTAAACATTGTTTTAATACATATTTTTTCCTTAAGAGTGGGATGGAATTCCCTGAGAAAACCTAAGGACTCCGTGACTCGATAAAGTTCAAAAGCCATTGTAATAGATTATAAATGCATCTAAATAAACATGAACAACTGGCTTCCAAATATTATCTCAATTTAATATTAACGATTTTTTTACTTAAGATATTATGCAAGCATAGAAGTTGAAATAATGGATCCCCGTTGTACTTTTAGAACCATTAAATTATGCTATCGTAAATTAAATCCAGGCCTTCTAATATTATCTAAAAAAAATTAATTTGGTTGAGTAGTCTTCAAATAATAATGGTAATAAATATGATTTGAGTATCTGTAATGTCTACAAAATCACTTCAAATAATATGTGGTGCGAATATCTTTCAACTGATAAAAATATAAACTTACTTAGAATACCTTATAACTTCTGCGATGAGAAATAATATTTAAAGAATCACATTAAATAACATTTAATGAACCACATCAAATATTATCTAAGGAATTAAAAACAAACATTTGCAACTGTAAATGATGTACTAAAATTTCCATCAAGAAGCATAAATTCTTCGACTGTAAGAAGAACAGTTTCGGAAAGAACCAGTGAATAGGCATTAATCCTGATCTTCTAACCTGCATATAAATGAGAAAAATTGGAATATACACAGTGCTTTAAAAATCTGGTTACAATTCAAAGAATATTACTTCAGAAAGAAATGGTACTTTTAGAGCCTTAGGTTTTTCTGAATCAGGAGACATGAAAAATGTGCAGTCCCCTCGCCAGGGACTCGAACATGGACTTCTCGAATATGCGTCGAGTATGCTTCCAGTTACGCCACGAAGGCATGAGGAAAGGAGGAAGCAAATATCTTATTAGTTAATTTTTAATTTATTACTTAGTTTTTCAGTTAATGAAAAACTAAATTTTCGAACAATCGAACTGCCCAGCATCTAGCACTGGACACTTTAAAAACTTTCAGTGCATCCATGTTACAAATGGATTATTATTAGCTTCATAATGATTTTTGAAACTAATAATAATCCATTTTCCCATGATGGTAAACAAAATAAAAAATCTCCAGGCTAGCAATGATTTTAACTCTATCAATACAGCACAGTGCCCTGGGAAAAAAAAAAAAAAAAAAAAAAAAAAAAAAAAGTTTATTTGTTACCGGTTCTCTCATGGGTAATAGTTGTAAGCTTCGTATGCAAGCGATCCAGTGGGGAGGGGGGAAAGTGCGCAGCTACATCTTCAATAATTTTCTGTCCATTAAACAAGTACAAAGATCTCCACGGGATACCGCAGAATAATAATTTAGCAATAATAATTTCTCCCTATTACAGTTTAACAGAGTTTTTTTTAAAAACTATTTAAAATCAGCTGTGCAAAATTACAGTGCTAAACTGCTATTTTATCCAGCTTTCGATTTTATGTTCGGCATTTCTGAGAATTAATTCTTAAACTTGCAAGACATATAGTAACTGCTCAATAAGACTCAATATGCCTCCGGTATTTAACTGAAAACTAATTGCAAAAATAAAATTGCGGTTCTTTTTCCGCTTATAAAATTTTTAATACTAATAACTTTTTTGACGCGTTAAATGTGATTTTTTTTTCATTTCCCCATCTTTATTTCAGGTTAATAAGCTTAGCCTAAAATGAAGATGAGTGTTTACAGACCATAAATATGGAATGATTTTCGAAGCATATATTTGTTGACGAGGCAGAAGAATTTTGCTTAATAAATATAGTCGAAAAGATTGCATTTCTATTTTTAAAATTCATAAAATTTCTTTGACAATAATTATAACTTATAATTAGGCAAATGTTAATTGGGTGCTTCCTTACTATAAAGCGGTCCCCAAAATTGTATCGCTATTCGACCAAGATGTAACACGAAGTGAGGTATAAGAGCACGTGGCAAGATTTCGGTGAGGTATCTCGGATGATTAGCAATTCAGTGTTGGGGCCCGCTATAATAAGAAAGTACTGTTACTTGTCTACAACCTTTCTAAATTCCACTCCACAAATTTACTTTTTTAGAGTAATATTTAATATATTTTTACAAAAGTAATACTTATTACAAATATTATTAATATCTTAAACTGTTCACAGAATATATGCTTAGAACTTTTTTAATGAAGAATTATTTATTAAACGAATGCATGCAATTGAAAGATAATTCATATAGCTAATATTAATGTCTGTTTAGTAATTTAAAAAAAAATCTGATGTGGACACCACATGATTTCCTTGTCTGATCTATTAAATTATACACATCTTTTGTTGCCTTTCATTTAAACTTATTTTCTCGAATTTCATTAGAGATATATTTTTCATTCAATCAATGCAGTTCTGACTTCGCTTCAATAAAAAAATACATAACAATTCAAATTATCTTCATTTAAAATTATAAAATACAGAAAATCCTTAAACACCAAATAGAGTTAAAAACCGTTAATTTTTTTTTTTTTTTTTTTTTTTTTTTTTTTTTTTTACAATTACGATTAGAGTTTAAATTAATTAACATTAGGCAGAAAGACATTTTTCGGTTCACAAAACTTTTAATCCCATTCGGCAAAAGGACACTGAAGTTGGTGCAGAAACTAATTTAATTCCAAGGAGGTTTAATTCACGATGCTACAAAGTTTCAAATGTAAACAAATGGCGGCTTCGTAGAACTTAAACAACCATAAAACTGTTGATAATTTTACAACTATTGCATGCAGATTAACTAAAGGCATAAAACCTTTAACCATAAAATAAGAACAATGTAATTCAATCACTTTTAAAGCAAAAAATGATGCACAATTTACCAACATATAAGAGTAAAAAAAATTTGCTCACCGAGACAGGTAACAGAATGGATATATATATATATATAATAAAACTGCGTTATTATTGAAATAAAATTACTTAGTTGCAACGGATTGGCGTTGGAGAGGACTGCATTATAACTTGAAGACCTTGCTGCGTAGTTAGCAAGATGACACTAGAAGAACATACATAACGGTACATTCCACGCATAATTTTATTTTTCGATAATGCACATTATCACTGTGGGTGCGCTATGCATCTCCCAATTTTATACAGCTCACATTTCATAAAGAATGGACTAAATTTAGAAAAGTAAATTTTACGAAGCTAGTGGCAATATAAAGCAGTGACACGATGCAAAAGAAAAGACGGAAGAGAGGGAGTTGTGACGCAATTGGTCTTTTCATACCAAATTCCATTTCGGATTATATGACAGTTTAATGTACAGGGTTTTGGGTTTAGATTTCATCGGTAAGTGTGCATCAGAGCTGCAAGGAGAAAAATTTATTGTTGTTATTTTTAGAATGAAACAGAAGTTAAAGGACTATTAATTTATTATTTGAAAGCTAGATTTTATAGTTTACATATTAGATATTTTACACACACACACACACACACATATATATATATATATATCAAAGATATATATATATATATATGTATATATATTGGCAGAATTGGTGTTAACAGCTGGAATCTATCTCAGAAAACACATTATTGTATCCATTTAAAAAGTGTAGCATCGCCGATGTTCTCGATGGCTCAAAAAATTATTATACATATTATGGCACAACGAAAATAAAGGCAGCCTAGAAGAATCAAGTTTGATTTATTCGATTACGGCAAACACTTCAGACTTATCTGCCTTAAAACGAGGGACGCCTTTCGCGGAGGACTTTCTATAATTAGAAGAATCAAACTTTAAAATGTGAGCAAGATTCTGATAGTGATTAAAATGCAGACAATCAATGACGCAAAGGAATCAGATTCTGCTGCTGATTCAGAAGAAAATAATGAATAATACACTTACATATTGATCGCTATTGTTACTTCACAATAGAATTCTGTTACGATAAATACAGGGTGTTTATAAAGTCCCGGACCCATTTTGATGTTTGATAACTCATAAAATAATGAAGATATAAACAAACTTATGGCATTTATTGATGGAATAACTTACATATTTTCCTTTTCAGGTTTGAATATCTTTACTTTTGTAAATATCGTCTGCGCGTGTGGTTAATTTCAGATAATTTCACTTTCCAGTCTAAATATCTGTACTTTTCTAAATATTCTGCTTTTTCCTTAATATCGTCTGCTTTTTCATTTGGAGATATTCTAAATATCGTCTGCTTTTTCCTTTGGGGATTTGTAAAGGACAACGTTTACAAGAGGAGAGTGTCGAACATTGATGACCTAAAAGCCAGAATTACAACCGCAATAGCTTTTGTGGATGCCGACATGCTTGCCGGTACTTGAATATCGACTTGATATTCTGCGTGCGACGAAGGGGGCACACGTGGAAGTTCATTGACAAGGGTAATGAAACTTTTTGAGTCTATCTAACCATTCATGTTATTAATTTTAATCTATCTTTATTATTTTATGAGTTATTAAACATCAAAGTGGGTCCGGGGCTTTATAAACACCCTGTATATTTAACAGATATATTTCCATGTTTTACGCTATCTATTTAATCCCGTTAAGAATAAAATTATTCTTCATTTCGTCGGCTACACCTTAAATAGGGGTTTTAAAATCGAAAAAATATAATAAATTTTTTAAAATAGGTAAATACATAAAGGGATATCAAAATTTGGTACTAATTTCAATGATCGTCAAACTTAAAAAAATAATAATAAAATAAAATAAAAATAAAGCACAACTTTAATTTAAAAAAAATTTTTTTAATAAATTAAGCAAAATAAATTTATCTATTATGATTTGCATTAATTTAATAAAACAAGATATATGCGTTTTGAAACAATATAACTCAGTTCTTGAAGGTGTCAACAGAATATTTTCATATGTTAAAGAAGAAAGACCTGTTACATTCTCTCAATGAAGAGCTTTTCCAATAAATCAAAATCAGCCAAATTTTGAATTCTGTCTATTGTTTCTAACACTATTTTCGAAAATTCACACTAATGTTTTTAACTGCCATATATATACCGTTAATATATACCGTACATATAATTTTTGCGTTAGATTTGCTGAATTCTAGATTTAGAAAAGAAGTTTCAAAACAATGTTAAAAATGGAGCAGAATTCACCCTCCCCCATTGAAACTGAGGGCATTCTAAATTTCTTGTTTCATGCTGAAAACCACTATAATATTTACACATATAATTTAAAATTTCTTTTGTCTACTAGCAAAACCAAATACTAGCCATTTTATTGAAAAGCATGCAGTTTATATATATAATTTTTTAAATACCATAACTGCTTATAATTTTCATTATTCAATTTAGTTTCGTACTTACACAAATAGTGAAATGTATTACCACTCCCAAAAGTAAAACAGTAATTTTAATCCAGTTACGTTTGTTTACTGTTTATATATAATAAAAACTATAGCTGTAGAAAAAATATTAGCATTATCATAAGTAGCAGTAGCGTAATGATCGAATTCACGCTTCCAGAAACAGAGAAACGTTTGTTTACTGTTTATATATAACAAAAACTATGGCTGTAGAAAAAATGTTAGCATTATCATACGTAGCAATAGCGTAATGATCGCATTCATGCTTCCACAAACACAGAAACGTCATTATAATGTCCTGATCACATTTCTCTCCTACTGTAACTTGGCAAACAACTCTGTATCTATCTAATCCCATGTGCTTTACCTCTTCGCGAATAGTAGATGATATCTGGGCTACTATATCTTTCATATCAGAGCAGTATTCTTTATCCTGTAGATACTCTTGCAGAATGCGCCGGGCGATATTTACAATGCTACTTGATTTGAGCGTAGCACTAGGTCCCAGCTGGTAGGTGCACAATTCCTCATCACTTTCATAACCTACTTCTTCTTCACCTTCAACCTCAGATTCTTTCGTCTCCGCATGTAATTCTTCCTCAGCTTCAATCGGTAACACATGAGATACAAAAAAAGTTCCGGTGCCCTCGCTTTCGGTGTCCGGTTTTTGCTCGCTTTCAATTATCGAATCGTCCTCCATAACTAAAACTTAAAGCTCCATACGGAATTTTGGCGTCTTTGAGTTACTATGGCAACTGTTCATGAATGGGATTATTGTGCCATCTGGTGGGGGAAAAAAGATATAAAAAGACTATCGTGAAATTTTTACTGCTCTTAAAAGAAACGCATCAAAATTAAGTTCTATGATATTACATCTTATAAACGAAATAAAAATAGGTCTTTGTAAAATTCTGAATCAAGATAAATGACTATAAAAGTGACACACCTCGATATATACCGATTTTGCCCAAGATTACTGCTATTTGTGTTTTTTAGATTAACAACTTAAATTTTAGTTCTTCTGAGTCCATATAAAAAGGGAGAACATGTGGGCAATATAAAGCTTTTTTTAGTGGGAGTATTAAACTGTATCAGGAGTGAATATGAATATTTATAACACTTTCTAAAGCTATTAAAAATGCATTTGAATTGGAGTTTGATTCCCTCCTTTCTGAATAGATTATTTTTAATCGAATAATAAACACATATAGTGATATACGTATGGCAAATTATGAATCTTAACAGATGGCAAAATGTACGATATTTTTGCAGTTGTTTTGAAGAAGCTGTAAGGAATAATAATTCTCAAAACAGATATAAGGTCAGTGAAAATAAATAATGAATAAAGTTGAAATTTTATTTGTCACTTGTAATTTGATGCATTAAGTGACGTACAGGTAAGTGATTTTTTTTTTTTTTTTGGTTGTTGTTGTTGTTTTTTTTGTTTAAGTCTTTGTGCGTGCGTGTGTAGAAAAGCATATGGAGATGAACTAAAAGAATTCATTTATTCCATGGCATACACGAGAAACAAATGCCATCTATTCACCACAAAGTGGTGGTTTACAGCACATGAACGACACAAATTTTTCAGTGATCTGTGATTTGCTGGATCCACTACATACCACATTGCATCATTGTCAGTGAATACACTACGAAGCATGCATTTTAATATGAAGAACATATTTGTCCCGTATAAATCAAAGGGTTAATATTAGTGCATCATTAACAAAACTTTATTACATTAAAAATAAGAGAGTTATGTGCCAATTAATTAATTTGTGCAAAAACAAATAAATTATCAATTACGTTAGAACAATAAGTTCAATAATAAAAAGAAAAATCAATGAAAAAGTTTTTTTCTCCTGTAAATTTTCAGAATGCTTTGCAAAAATGCATAGTTTATGACTGAACCTGTAAGGTTTAGTCTTAAACTATGCATTAAACCTTAAGGTTAAATAATTTATTATTATTATTTGGATTAAAGATAAATTAAAGTTGTCTTTTTAATAAGATTAAAGATGTAAGATTCTTTTTAATATCATATAGTTATTAATTAAATTTATTCTGTACTGGATGTCAGACGGTTTATAGTAATTAGTATCACCAATGTTTTCTTTTTTGTCAAAAATAAAAATTTTTATGAAGTACACTGCTGGCCACCTAAATTGTAACACCAAGAAAGACAAGAGATATCACAACAAAATTTATTTAGTAAATAACATGTTGACCAAGTATCAAATGATTAAATTTATAGACTTCTGTGAAGTGTGGTTCCTTCCAGAATCAGTAGCCAGAGTAGCAGCCGCATTGATGGAGATCACCGCTGCCACACGCCTCGGCATTGATTCAAAGAGACTTTGGATGTGTTCTTGGGGTACAGCAGCTTCCACGTTGCATAAGTTGATCTGGTGTGGCAGCTTGGGATGTAATCTGGGTCAATCATTCAGCAACTATGGACCACATGTTTTCTATCGGCGAAAGATCCGGAGAGCGAGCCGGCCGGTCAAGCAATTCAATCTGACGAAGCAATGGACGTCTTGCGAACAGACCACTCTGCTGTAAACGGTGTCAATGGTACGCGCAGACACTGCATGATGCGTTACAGACTGAATGTGCTGTGCTGTGCTATGGTTAGTGATATGACTGACCGATCCGTCACTGCCATGCGCACAATGTTCCTGTTATCACGCGAATAGGTGCACTGAGGTGGATGCAATCGAACACGTCGGTCCGTTGTATTCTCCTGCATCCAACGGTCACATATCCGCATTACAGTTGTTTGGTTTCGTCCAACAACTATCACATATCCGCATTATAGTTATTTGGTTACACGACTACCGATTTCCCTGAAAGATAATCCACACTCTCGGTAGGCCACTATCCTTCCTCTGTCGAACTCGGATACTTGATCAAACGATGATCGCTGTTTACTACGAGGCATAATTGATAATTTTTTTGAAAAAAAAAAAAAAAAAAAAATTGCCGAACTTGAAATTGTCGAAAACTCCAAGCCTTAAATAGCGTTTTGAAGTGGCGCCACAGGCGCGCGTGATGTGCGTCTGCGCTGAAATTCTAATCATTTGCATATCTCACCTCCGCTAATGCATGTTGTAAATTTTATATTATTTGCACGCTTCCTTCAGGGTGTTGCATTTACGGTGGCCAGCAGTGTACTTTTGTATAACTACATCATACTTTCAAAACTTAACTCTTTAATTTTTTATATTAACAACCCTATTAAAGACACAGAAATTAAACAATCAGTTTTACAATGCTTATGACAGCAGTATGCAGTAAAAATTAACTTTGCTTGTTGTGCAAACAAGAATGTACTTTAATAGCCAAAGCTCTAGTTAGAATTTTCAGTGCCTTGGAAGAACTGAATATTTTACACCTACTCCTGTTTGCCAAGAACGGAAATCATTTCATTCTAAAAATTCATAACATCAATTTGGTGCCCAGTGGAAGCTGCGCCTGGGACAGATGTCCCCTCTTGCTCCCTTTGAGTGACACTACTGTTAACAGCACTACTTAATTTACCTGTTTATTGATTCCAGTACCTCAAAATTATGTAAATATAAATTACAATTAAATAATGAAATTTTAAATGATATAAAAAGAAATTATACATGAAATTTGAAATGTTTTACATTACAATAATATCCCATAAAATTTCATTACTAATTTTAAGTTGCGGTGTTATATAAAAACTTATTATTAAATCATATTTGTCACCAGTTTCAATCATAATTCATTTTCTGATAAACAAGGAAAAAATTACTTAACTGCATACTTAGTCCTTTTGTTATTTATTTAGCAATAATTATAACACTACTTTTATTATCAGAATGAACTAAAGTTATCTGTAGTTAATTAAAGTAACACTTAAATGTACATTAACTTTATTAATTAAAAAAGTCAGCAATAATCACATTCTTAACCCCTTAATCTACAATGATGGGCATAGCCTGCATACGATGGTCGGGCCAAAACTAACTTTCACAAGCTTAGCCCGCGTACGATGGTCGGGCCAAACCTAACTTTCATGGGCATAGCCCGCGTACGGTGATTGGGCCAGAAGTGAATATTACGTGGAATATTTGATACGCAATTACAGTCTAATGTAGTAGATAATTGTAGTAGACGTAAGTATTACAAAAATGTTTATTTATACAAAACTCTAAAATACAAAATTAGTAATATGTAATGGTATGATATATTTCAAAGCATTCTGGTACATGTAACGGAACTTTACACTTTTTACGCTTGTGTTCTATGTGGATTTTCTCGTACTTGATCTGCATACTGATTCGTTTCAGTTACAATATTGTTCCAAAATATGTCATCAAATACTAGATTAAATATATCAAATTCTCCTCTACTTCCTCCTAATTGACATAAGGCTTCCTCTCTTATGCTAGGAGTCATCGTATAGTCCCAGATTTTTGGACTATTTCTTATTTCTTTCCAAAGCCAGGACTCTGGTAGTTGATCGTCATCGGATGCATCATCAATAATTATTCACCTATACTTTCTTCGAAAATTACATAATTTGTCATGTTTACAATTGCCCGGATTAGCGTGTTACACAAGTCGTGCAAATGTCCCGAACGCTGCGCGAGCTTGTATACAATTTCGGCCCAACATCTTCGAATCTAAATCATTGGTTAAGGGTTAAGGATAGCTAGATTTTAATAATGTGGCTATGATAGCAAATTTACAGAATAAGATGAAAATCTAGATAGATGCTCTAAAACTCTCCATTTCTTACATTTCTGGCAGACCTTTTTCTTTGATTAATCAATTAAATAAAAAAATTTCAAGTGAATAATTAGTCAATTTACCTCTATAAAATGTTTAAAACTTTCTTTAACACTTATGCATGTTTTTAATGGTTGGAAGAAATTCTTATATAATATACAGTATTCCTTAATAACCCATACAACTGGAAAATATTTGCTCAAATATTTATTTTTTGAATTTGCTGATCAAGCTGGTACTTGTGTACTGTAATTACAAATGATTTATGTCCCACTGATTATGCACATCAGTAACAAATATAAAAACTATCAGCTTAGTAATGCTACAAAAAGCACAAATGATGCAAAAACTGCTTGATGTGTCAAATCACACTGTGGTAAAATATAATAATTGGTACTTTACAATTAAAACTACTAAAGAAAAATACTTTGGTAAATAGTTTGTCTGGTAACATTATTTAATGATGAAAACTTCAAAATTGCATTGAGTGAATTTTTTGATTGATATCATTATCAAAACAATAATAATATAAAATTGTGGTCCAATTTTTTTTTTTTTTTTTTCATCAAAGTAAACAAAAGTTTGATTAATTTGAACTAAGATAACAAGAACACTGTAACATGATGAGTTTACAATTTTTTAATGTTAAAATCTTTTTTCAAAGTAATTTCTTGTTTTATGTTGTTTGAACTCAACAATAAGGATTAGTGTTTCACCAGTTTTTTAAATAGTTGGTATCAGGTAACAAGGCAGTACCACTGATACCTCAAGATATATCCTGATGGCTCCATCCACTTTTGAAGACCCTTAAACAACATGAACAGATAAATCATACTTCCCAAAATTAAAGAAAAGCTTCAGTTTAATTTCACAACAAGGAAAAATTTTTCATATGTAAATGTCTTATATTCTAATACCATATAAAAATTTTAAAATGTATTGCATACAAATTATCTGTTAATAACATCTGTTATTGTTTGCATGCACATGCTCAAAAGCTTAATGGTGAAAAATACAAGAATTTTTAAAAACATTTGTATTCTTAAAAGTGGTACTACTCTTATATGCGCCCTCGGATCGCCCAATGCGGTGATATGTGTTTTGTGCTGGTTTTTGGTGTAATTGCGTGTTCTGCGATGGTTTTGGAGGCGATGTTGGTTTTTATGGCAATCCTTTTTACGTGGAAACTTGTTGATTTTACTGAAATGGTTTCAAAGACTTGTTGGCAAAAGTTTAGTCGCGTGCCTGGTACAGCTATTTTTTCGGGTGCCTGGAAATTCTACAAGTATTTAGGAGAAGAAGGTTTTAAACATTTATTTGTAAAAGAAAACAGTTTTGTAAATAGTGAGTGTGGCTGTCATATAAATACAATATAGATTACCTGGCAGCATGTTAAAGCTATGTTGCCAACTTATAATCAGCGAAATGCGATTTTGTGTTTTATTTGTTGTTTTATATATTTTTCTATTGTTCTGAAATGGGAGAAGATGCTTTTAACAAATTTGTGGTGAAATTGTTTTGGTGATGTTTGAAATTGGTATTTCTGCTGTTCGAAGAAGCATTCATTCATGGTAACTGCATTATATTTTATTCTTGTTCTTATTTTGTAGATTGTTATGTTCAATGTTTTCTTAGTATGAATTTCTGTCGTTATTGTTTTTTTTAATTGTTTGAAATTTATTTTAGTTTATTTTGTTGATTAGTGTGCAATGCCTATATTGTGCAATTCATAGATGTTTTTCAAAGTTTAAACAGAAGGCTGTGTTCATGGTATTCTTTGAAATTTATTGTTGTTATGTTAATTTATTAGAGCGAGGTGTGCGTAGTTCGTAGACTCCTTCGCTGCATAGATTGTACAATTCTGTGGTGTTTTTTTAAGTTCAAACATATTGCTGTGTACATGGATTCTTGTCAAATACTTTTGGTTAGAAACTTTACATTTTTGCTATCTAAATTTGTTGTTTTTGTTTCAAATTTTTAGCTTAAATTATGTGTTTTGCATGTGGGAAAACCGCGTTTTTGGAGACATTTTAGGCTTAAAGTTCGAAATGTAGACAAAAAACTTAGATAGTAATATGGCAGCATGGAGTTTCTCGCCAAAAATGTTTGGCGAGAAATTTGGCTACTTGAGGGTGCATATCAGAGTAGTTCCAAATCAAGTTTCAAACAAAAAATAATTATAAGCTGTTGGAATTTGGAATATAACAAAATGAACACATAGGAAAATAATGACTTTAGAAACTGAATATTAGTCATGCGTATGTTTGCCTAAATAATTGTTATAGGCATGGTTATCAGAATTTACTGTATTCTAAGGCCTTTACCGATTAATGTTGTGACTTATCTCACTTGTCTGACAATAACATCAGAACAAGCCCACAAAACCTCCTAGTTCCTTAAAACTTTCTGACATCATGTAATAATTTTGTTTTCTATTCAACATTTAAAAAGAAAAAGAAAAAAAAAAAGGAATGTAGGGTATAATTTATTTTAATCTTATTTTCCTTTTATAACATACTATTTTAAGGAAAAATTTGCACACTTCTTTTGCTGCAATTAAGATAAAGTGTTCCAATTAAATACTCTTTTAATAACACGAAATCATATAATAATATGAAACCATTCAATGATATTTCATAAGAACAATTCATTCACAACAAAATATATACAATAATATTGCTCCAATTAAAATTACAGAAAAAATAATTTAACCAGAATTTCAACTGCTTAAATTTATATACATAAGTATATGAAAGTCATATACTTATGTATATAAATTTGAAATTAATAATGGTTCATTTTCTTGTGCATAAAAAATTTTTATCTTTTCATTTGAAGAAAATAATGACTCAGATTGTTTTATATTAGTTTAATATTTTTCTCAATAACAATTTACAAATATTACATACAAAAATTAATCTAAAATTTTAAAAACAAACAATGATACAGAAGTACGAACATTCCAATAAATAACAAAAATTCAAAACCAGCAGAAAGATTTTTTTTAAATGGAACCAAAAATTTAAATGGCAGTGAGCAAGGATTAAGCTCAAAATTGATATCATTTTAAAGTACATATGGGGTACATGATTATTCATTTGTCTAGTTATAAGTAACAATTCAGTGAGTTATACATTAAATGCAATTCAAAATATCAAAGACTTTTTAACAAAGCAAATAACAATTCAAAATATCAAAGACAAAAACTAAAAATAATATTCATGTCAAAGGAAAATATCCCCTCCCCCTCCTCCATTTTCACATCAGATATTTCATCTACAAGAATGTAGGTAACTACTTCTGGGTCATTATATCTTATTTTAAAATCCTAAATTTTTGGATACCTCCTGAAAATAATTTCAATAATAATAGAAATATTATTTCAGAAATATATATATATATATATATATGTAATATTAAAAGCACAAAGGAAAAACGGAACACTGTCGATGCGTGCTTATCCTATATTGAAGAAGAAGTAATCTGATTGCGTCGTAAGCTAATGTGTTGACTTCGTAAATAAAACTTGGCAGTAGAAGCGATTTTAATTCCATTTTTATTTCCAATTGATATTTGTGGCCACAATCACTTGGCACTCTAGTCGTGCCTTTCCACAGAAGATTTACATTTTTGATATTGTTGAGATAGAAAGCAAGCCAGGAAATTACATCTTAGCAGAGTAGAGGGCAAAAGCTGAAGTGCGTAGTTATGAAAGATGGAAGCACGCGAAGAGAAAAGTTTTGGTTTACAACGACAGTTTCAGTTCTTAATTATTACGTCATCAGAGTTGCACGGGCCATAGAGTGATCTAGAAATGACGCAATGCAGAGAAGTTATTACGATTTCAGAATAGAGAGGAAGAATTAATGTTTATAGTTTAATCTATAATTTTGATTCATATATTTTTATCTTACATATATATAATACACTACTCCATTTCCAAAAGAAATATCAATAATGCTTTCATATGTGATGTTGAAGACCTAATATTTGTGAAATGCTCCCTAAGTTTTCTTAGTTAACCGACCGCTAGCGGTTCAACAGGATACGCATGTCCGACCGGCAGCTCAGCTACAGATTCTCACTGTCTTAATAACTGTCAGGACAATCTGATAAATCGTCTAAATAAAACTCTTCAGTACCATTTTTTCGCTCATTGTGAATGGTAATTTTTTAAAAAAATGGTGTGAAAATGTGGGAGTTTACGAAGCAATGCACTTAACGCAAGTGAGCAATGTATCTCAATACAAATATTAAAATGCAGATTGTGTAGCAAATGGCAATTGTTTACTGCCATGGCTACCACTTGCTAGGCTATTTTTAGGTAACCCCGAGAAAAAAGTGATTAATAGGCTCTCATTCGGTAGGCGTAGGTGAAAAAAAGCCGATTAATAGGTTATCATTCGGTAGGCATTGGCAAAAAGAGGGCAATTAATAGCAATCAGTTGGTAGGCATTGGTGATAAAAAGCAGATTAATAGGTTATCGGTCGGTAGGCGTTGGCGATAAAAAGCCAATTAATAGGCGATCGGCCAATTAAATGGTTGAAAAAGGCTACATAAAAATGTATTAAAAATAAACTCCCCCTCCTGATTGCATTAAATTTTATTAAAATTTTAAATCAGTACTTTTTATCTAATCTTTCTCCAATAATCCTTTGCATCTTCACATTTATTAAAGTTTGAGAAATTACAAAACTAAACTACAAAAATTAAAATTTCTCAAGTTAGTGTTAACTAATGATATGCCCATTTTAAGAAAATCTATAGCTTGATATGGCAGAGTCACTGAGTTCTTTTGCATCATATCCAGTTTAACAAACAATTTTAAAAACTAACTTGAGAAACTTCATCTATTTTGTACAATTAAATCACATTATATATATTTTTTCTTTGCTTTTAAAGCCACCACACTATATATAGTATCTTTAACATCATATTATTGTATTCAAAATTCCAACAGAAACTCCCAAAATCAGTGCTAGTACAATTAACACTGAATAAAAATGATAACATAGTAACTGTCACTTTAAATTTTTAATTTTCAATAATACTAATTAATAAGATCAAATCAACCTAAATTTAAGAAATATCTAAAGAATATAATAAAGTGATTCATAACATAATTTTAGTTAAATATTAAGCATAATGATATTTATAATTTCTAAAAATTAATTCAGAATTTACATATTTAGACTGAAAATAAAAATACTTAGACAGAAACATATCTAGGTTCTTTTATTTAGTTCATGAATCATAAAAATGGTTGAAAAAGGCTACATAAAAATGTATTAAAAATAAACTCCCCCTCCTGATTGCATTAAATTTTATTAAAATTTTAAATCAGTACTTTTTATCTAATTTTTCTCCAATAATTTTTTGCATCTTCACATTTATTAAAGTTTGGGAAATTACAAAAACTACAAAAATTAAAATGAAATCAGTCCTTAAGTTTACTAAAAAATTACACTTGTACAACACACTTTCAGGTACATCAATAAAAAACTTGTATAGTAAAATATTATGAAGAAAACTACATTGAAATTTGGAAATATTACTAAGCTTTCACTTGAATAAATAATCAAAACAGTATTTTCGATATCTTCACCCTTCATAAAAAAAAGCCAATAATTATAGTAAAAATGTAAATACATTTTTACTATAATTTGATATAAAAATTTGATATCAAAATAAAGAAATCAAAAATATATAATTTATATTTAATTACACAACACTTCAAAATTTTTGAAGCCTTAGAAAAAATTACATAAAAATTTTCAAATTAAAAATTTTTTTTTAGAATAAAAAATTTTTTGCTGTGATATTTTCTTTAACTTTCTTTTTCACTTTTACAATTCCATGATCTTGTTAAATGTGAATTTCACTGCCATTATCTGAGAAACTATGCAGATTTCCAATCTTCTACAGCAGTCATTTTCCTTAGATAAAATGGAAATTATATTTTTTAAAGTAAAACATAGGTATTTTAGATATTAAAAGCACCATCTTATAAAATTTCTTATATTAGCAAACACTTGACGGCATACACCTGTATAAATAAGTATAGCACTTTTCTCACTGAATTATAATCTTTAACTATAAAACAATAAATAATCAAATAAAATTTGCCTTTTTTTTATTACTTGCCTAAATCAAATACATATATAAATGGCCCATATTTTTTACAATATTTTATAATAATGCAATATACTGCTTTTTCTTTGCAAAGAAAGATTTTTTAAGAAAATAATCTAGATACTACTTACTTTAACAATTAATGACAATAGCTGCATTTAGGATGACAACGAGAACCATCTACCATGCATTTGCATCCACCACTGGTATCACCCCTACCCTGATGATAGAAATAAACACATTTTAGAATCCTATATCATCTATTTTACTAAAACTGAATTGCAATATCATATTTTCAAAATAAGTCATAAATAACTTACTCCTGGTCCCCATCGTGGGCCTTTAGTGACCCAACAAACTTCAGTATGGCACATGGAACATTTCAGCCAATCACAGCCCCATTTTTTCATTAAAATCACTTGACACTGAGGACATTCCATAGCTTCTCCATTCTGAACCATATTCTTTAACAAAGAAATGTAACAATTAAATATATAAATTTTTCCATATCATTGCCTAACTGAAAAGTTTAACTTAAAACTACTGAACAAAAAAAAACATATTTTAAAAATATATTCTCATTTCCATAAAAATAAGAAAAATCATACACTATTTCATTACACATGATATGCACTACATTTGGTATGGAAGATGTATAAAAAAATCTCAATTAAACATTTCTTGAACAGCTAGTCATGAAAATATACAGGGGTTGGACAAAAATATGAAAACACCTTTAAAAAAACATGTTTCTTTGCTTAATATGGTGTAGGAAACCCGTTGGCATCCAAAACAGCTTGCAGTCTTCTCGGAATGGATAAATACAGTTCCTGTATGTTTGCCAAGGGCATATTATACCATTCTTCCTACAAAATGTTGGCAAGTTCAGATAACGATGTTGGCGATGGATAAAGAGAACGCACTTTCCGTTCCAATGTAGACCACAAAGGTTCAATAATATTCAGGTCTGGTGACTGTGGTGGCCAGGGGAGATGGGACAACTCATCCTCGTGCTCAGTCCTGGACAATGTGAGCTGTGTGAACAGGGGCTTTGTCGTCTTGGAAGACACCATCACCATCGGGGAACAAAGTTTGTACCATGGGATGAACTTGATCGGTCAAAATGTTCACATAAGTCTTGGCAGTCATGTGCCCTGACACAGTTATCATGGGGCTAGCAGAGAACCACGATATGGCTGCCCAAACCATAACAGAACCCCCGCCATGTTTCACTCTTGGCAACAAGCAGTCTGTATTATAGGCTTGAGATGGTGTTTTCCAGACGTAAATTCGGCCAGAAGTGGGAACAATGTGAAAGAAGACTCGTCAGACCATATTACTCGCTTCCACTGCTCTATAGTCCAGGCTTTATGACTTAAACACCACCTTTTCCTGTTACGGGCATTAGCATCACTGATGAGTGGCTTCTCAATTGCAGCACGGCCAGCAATTCCCTGTTTATGAAGCTCCCGTCTAATTGTTTTGGTACTCACAGTGTTCGGTAACACAGCATTCATTTCAGCAGTAACGTTTGCAGCTGTGGTCTTCTTATTTTTCGCCACAATTGTTCTGAGTGATCGTCTTAATGATCGTCTGTCACGATCACTCAGGACACACTTTCGTCCGCGCTGTGATTTAGCAGATTATGTTTTTCTGCTTTTCAAATATGCGGAATAAATCTTCGATATAGTACCTCTTGAAACATTAAACACCTTGGCTACCTTGCTTACGGAAGCACCTACCATACGTGCTCCAACAATTTGCCCACGTTCGAAGTCTGTTAACTCTGACATAATGCAATGACAACCTCACATAACAGTACTCCGACAACAACTGAACTGTTTAGCACATTTACGAAGTTGTATAGGTGACGTCAGTAGTCAAAAATGCCAGCGCCACCTACATATTTCATTAAAATCAATCTTTCTTTTCAAACATGCATTTCACAAGGTGTTTCCATATTTTTGTCCATCCACTGTAATTCCAGTTAAAAAATAAACAAACAGGATAAGCTTTCAGAGTACTTATGAGACCCATGACTACCTTCAGTACAAATACACAAAATTTAAATTTACATATGTTCTTTTGCATAGAAAGTTCTGTTCGTAAGTGACTTCTTATGCCACTACAAATCTCTTTACGGAAAACTAGATCTACAACAAACTACCCCCAGAAACCAATGGTTCTCTTAATGTAGGTTACAACAGTACATCAGAAAACAATTTCTAGTAGTTGCAAAAAAAAAAAAGTTCTCAAATGCTGTTTTTCTTATCATATAATTTTAATACGCTTATACTGTAATTCCAAATTAATTTATAATTGTTAATAATTTATCATTACTTCAGCAATATAGTATTTTCACTTAGAAATCTCTTTTTTTTTTTTTTCCTTCACAACTAAATGCATGTAGATTACAAAGCTAGAAAGTTTGGAAAACCACTTTGATGAGGAAAAAATTGGGGAAAAATAATAACAAATTTTTTAAAAAAAATAAGGAAGCTTTCAGATTTTATATTATGCCTAAGAGGGTGATTTTCTTTTTCTTTCTTTCTTTCTTTTCTTTTCTTTTTTTTTTTTTTTCCTTCTTTCATTTACAAATGCATACATATTTTGAGAGTATTTGGGCTAAAAATATTTAAGAAACAACATATCTTTGGAATTTCTGAAAGACAGGCTTGCACACTGCAAATAAAGATATTTTATTCCCTACAGTCATTTGCCACTACTCGCTTTGAAATTGTTGAGTTTCTTAATCAAAAATTCGTTAAAGTTTAAAAAATATGAAATAGGTAATAAAACAAATTAGAAATTAAAGATTCATGCTTCCAAGTGCCCATATTCAGGTGGAGGACTATGTTATTCAAAATTTGACGGCTCTAGGTATTGTTTTTTTTTTCACAATGCGAGAAACATACATACATTCGTGCAGATTCATACTAGTGTAATGTAAACGACAGTTAGAAGCAACATTTGCAGACATTCCCTCAAACTTTTAATTACTGGCATCTCAGGTAACCTCCTTCTTGCTCTCTTCCTAACTTCCCCCCCTCTCCTTTTTTTGTTTTTAAAAGCAACATGGTTAAAAAACGTTTTTCATTGACAGTTTTAGTCCATAAAAAATTCAAATCCACAAAGTTGTAGTCCACAAAAAATCTATGTAGTCCATAAAAAATTCAGATTTCATATTTTTTACCAAAAAATGTCAACAGACAGATCTATCATAAACTGAAAGTGTAATTTATTTCATTATTTTTTTTAGAACTAGCTGCCTAAGCAGCCAGCCTCCCAAACTAGCTATTATTAAAAAAAAGTATAAATGATTATTTTAATGAGCCCAGTTAAAGTAATTTCAGGAGTCTAGCTAGTAGTTAACACTGTTGAAAAATTGCATTTATTGCTTTTAAATTAATTAGTTTGTTAAGCATTAACAGACAAAATCAATTTGATACTAGCACATGGAAAATAAAAATAATTTTGGGGGGAGGCAGAGCCAAAATATTTCTATTAAATATAATTACCTAGAAAACTCTGGTTTATGGGAATTTTAAAAATTTACAAATGGATATGTAACATTTAGCATAAAATAACATAATTAAAAATTATGCAATAAACTGATTCAGATAAAAATTTGTACAATGAAGATTTACAATAGTTTGATCTATTAATTCTCAGACTGCAACATCTATTTAAAATGCTTACACATTTTAGAATACAATCTGCATATAGGTTAATGAATATAACACACAAAATATGTATGCAACTCATATTTATTGCATACATTTCTTTCATCCATTACTGAAACCCTGTAACAGATACATTCCTGTCACCTTAATGAACTAATAAATTTTTAAAAGGTAGCACTAATTACAGATGTTTGCAAAACTATCTATCTTATATTTATTACGTAGGTCAGTCAGAAAGTTTGTTGCACTTCTGCGTAAATTTGTTCCGTCTAAGACTATTTGGATGACACTGTGTGGCAACACTTCAGACATGTACCTTTATCGCAACATAGTGGCTTCCCCGAGGCATTAGTTTTCCTGATAATCAGTTGCAAACACGTCTCGACAGCTGCAAATAGCATCCAAATTGGAAATGCATGCAGTGATTCATTTTTCATGGTGAAAAAAGTGCAACTACACTAAAATTTATGGGCAGTTGCATGAAGTGTATGGTGAAACTGCAATGTCACGTGAAGTTATCGCGAAATGGTGCAACATGTGTGAGAATGGACATACAGATATTGACCACGCTGAGCACGAGGGAAGACCACTTGCGCTCAGTGTCGTCAATATCTGTATGTTCAACAAATTCGGAAATCGCCGCTCGCATGAATGAATGCATTCTTGCAAACAGACGCATAAGAATAGACAAAATCTCAAATGAACTGGATATTTCTCATAGAAATGTGCATAAAAGTATTGCCGATCAACTTAAATTTTGTAAAGTTTGTGCTCGATGGGTGCCAAGTCTATTGACATGGGAACATGAAGTAAAGTGTTTTGAAAGTGCATTTGCATATCTGCAACGATCCCAAATGGAAGGAAATGAGTTTTTGGACAAAATTGTGCCTGAAGATGACACTTGGATTCACCACTTCTCACTGAAAAAAAACGCAGCTAGCTCAAGTGGAAACACTGCAGTTCCCCAGCACAAACAGTGTCAAACTGTTACATTTGCAGGAAAGGTGATGATGATGCGGTTTTTCAACAGAGAAGGCGTGGTGCATACAGAGTTCATGCCAAAGGGTACAACAATTAATGCATCTTCTTATTCTTAACCCTCTGAGCGTTATGGGTTTAGCCTTGAAATTTCAAAGTTCCTCAAATTGTAATGAATAAGTGATATTTTCTTGATTTTAATGAAAAAATTACTCTCATTTTGTACCTTGATTCCTTTTCTTCCAATATACATCCAAACTGAAATAAGATGCATTAAAAGCTAGCAGGAATTTTCATGTATAATGAATGTGGAAGGCCACCTTCTGTAGGGAATTTTCCGGCCTTAACGCTGAGAGGGGTAAACACTAAAACGATTGCGGAAATCACTTAAAAATCAACAGCCGTGTAAACTGTCAAAAGGTACTGTGCTCCTGCATGACAATGCAAGACGGCATGCAGCAAAACAAACGTGCGAACTTCGGAAAAAGTTTAGGTGGGAAGTGTGGAATCACCCTCCTTATAGCCCAGATCTTTCACCTCCTGAACTTCCATTTGTTTGGTCCCATGAAACAAGAACTTTCAAAGTGACAGTGCCATTCAGATGCCGAAGTGAAAGCTGCAGCCCAACAATGGTTATTTGACATTGGATGGGATTTCTTTGCAGAAGGCATCGAAAAACTTGTACCACACCTTGACAAATGCTTAAATAATGGAGGTAAATTACCTTGAAAAGTAGATTTTGAATGGAACTTTAAGATATAAGTATTGTAAAATTTTGCTCCTGTTTTGTTTTCTTAGCCTATGCAACTAACATTTGGACTGGACCCTCCATCACACATTGTTATATAAGCATTATCACAAATAGTTTGATATAAAAATTTATAAGTTATGTTTGAAATTATAATTCTTCTAAGTTAATGGCCTAAATGTGAAATAAATATTGCAATTTCACTTAAGGGCTTAAAATTATATTACATAGAAAAATTCAACCCCCCCCCAAGATTTTTTTATTCTATAACATTTTAAGCAATTTATTTAGCATATACCAATATAAAATATAATGTACATAACATATAATTGTATTTAAATAATATTTCATATCATCTACACAAAGTTTTATTTTTAGTTTATTTCAGTGCAAAAAAATAATTTTTTTAAAAATTATTCATGAAAACCTTTTTATAGCATTAAACTAGAAATTAAGCTAATAACATTTGAATTATCACATCTATAAAATATAAGCAGTATTAAAATAACCTGTAGATATTCCTTTGTTTTCTTAGCTTCTTCACTACTGTCACATCTAAATGCGACATCATCTTGAAATTGCCGACAGTTTTTCCCTTCATGTATAGCAGCACATGTTAGGCAATTGGTGTGTTTACAGACAGGACACAAAAAAGTGTTAACGTTATCTTCAAAAAGACACCATCCAGGACAATCAGGAGTTTTACAATGAAAACTGTCTAGAGCTTGGCTTTCTGCTAATGCCATACTTCTCTGCAAGTGTTTCTCATATACCTGAGGTGAGACAAGCTGCAAAAATGTAATATGCCATTATTTAGTCATTGAATTTTTACTTTTCTTTTAAAAGTATTTACTAATTAAAATGCAAAGCTTAACAAAAAAACATCTTTGAATGATGAAGTCTCTAAATGTGAATTTAATATTTAAAAGCAACTTACTCTGACATTTAAATTTAACTCACTGAACTAAAAGATTTCATTTGATACAATGTTTTCTGCAAAGAGTTATCAGCCTTGTAAGTTATTTTTAAGTGTCTAAAAGCATGGTATTAAATTTTAATAAATTGAGTATGTTACAAAAAAAATTAAATACAAAAAACAAGAAATTATATTCCATAGTTCCCATCAGTAAGGAAACATTGTCAAAATGTAATTTTGACCATATTCTGCCAGTATTTTTTTTATCATACATCCAAATGGCAGAACACATAAAAAATTATATTGTCATTCCATTACTCCTTGCACATCAAGAATTATTTACTTACAAAAAAAAAAAAAAAAAAAAAAAAAAAAAAAAAAAACTTTATTTATCTAGATTTATTACATTTATTAATTTTTACACATCTTGATAGGTTTATTCATAAAAACAAATAGTATGTATTAATTTTACAACAATTACTGAAAAAGGGAAAATACAAATCACTATGTGAAAATCACAAGATATAAGTCCAGTATACAGTATGTGTTGATAAATATGCAATATAAAGTGTTTAGATAGCCTTGTAGATATGTATATGATCTAAGAAAAGAAACTTAAATTTCTAGTCATGAAAATATAGAACTAGTAAAATATAAATTAACAGAAGATAAAAAATATCTTAACTCGTTACTTTTCCCCCCTTAAAATTTTTACAATATTTATACTTTCAAAATTATTAGAATGCATTTTCTGATATTTAAATGGAATAAATGGCTTTTCCAGTCAGTAATTTTCAATATAAGAATTGACACGTGAATATCTATCTATCTAATCTATTTCTAACAAAAAGCCATATGTGCTGTTGAGAGCTAGTTAATTATTACACACATAAAAATAAAAATTGTTAATATTAAATTACTAAAAAATTAAATGTTGAATTATTTGAGAATTCTTAACAGTCAGAAGAAAATAAAAATATTAAATAATGAATAATATACAAGGGGTGATCAAATGAAAAGGCACGAAACGACGTAAAAATGTAAGTTAAATATTTGCATATTCTGCCATGGAAGAATGTAGCGAGACATCTTGGGATACGATTGGAATCTCTGACTGGAATTGGAGCATGCGCGGGCACCCACATGCGCAGGAGAGAGCAGAGCTCTTATCAAAAGCGGCGTCCAAATGATGCGGCAGTCCATGTAAGGACAGGATGGCATTCGCGTTGCAAAATTCGACAACTAAGGAGCAGCGAGATGTTATTCGATTTCTGACAGGGCAAGGTGAGAAATCAGCAGCTATTCATCGCTGGATGGTGACAGTTTATGGGGAGAAATGTGTCTCTGACAAGTTTTTCAGAAAATGGAGTGCTCGTTTTCGTTCAGGCCGTGAGAGTGTGGGTGATGATCCGAGACCAGGCCAGGGAAACACTATCATCACAAGCGATCTCGACAAGGTGGACGACCTAGTAAGAAGTGATCGGCGTGCCACATTGTGAATGTGACAAATGTGAATGGTGAAGGTGGATGTCAGCTATGGAACCGTGTGGACAATTAATTGTTCACAACAAGTTGCGATATCGGAAGGTGTGTGCCGCTTGGGTTCCGAAGCAGTTCACAGACCAGCAAAAGGAACTGCGCATGGGGATAGCACTGCAACATTTGTTTCGGTAATCAGGAAGACCCTGCTTTCATGGAGCGGATCGTCACAGGTGATAAAACCTGGTGCCCTCACTACGAGCCAGAGACAAAGCGGGACAGCATGCAGTGGAAGCATGCGTCATCACTTCCCTCTAAAAAGTTCAAAGCCGCGCCGTCAGCAGATAAGTTGTTGCTCACTGTCTTTTTTGACGTTCAAGGTCCGCTACTTGTGAAATTTATGGAGCACAGAAAAACCATTAACTCTGATGTGTACTGTGAGACACTTCGACGGCTACGCAGGTCCATCAAGAACAAAAGACCGGGGCTGCTCATGGAAGGTGTGGTTGTGCTCCATGATAACGCGCATCCACACGTCTCCAGAGTCACACACATGGAGGCCAAGTTCAAGTGGGAGACTTTGGACCATCCGCCCTACAGTCCGGGCATGTCGCCCTGCGATTTCCATGTGTTTGGGCCACTGAAGAAACACCTGAAAGGGAAGCGCTTCAACTCGGACGATATACTCAAGGACGCTGTGAAGGACTGGGTCTCGTCACAGCCACAGGAATTCTGGGAACAAGGAATCCTGCAGCTTGTTCATCAGTGGGATCGTTGTGCTCAGGCCTATGGTGTATATTTTGTATAAAGTCTACATTTGTACCCACCGTGTCGTTTCGTACCTTTTCATTTGATCACCCCTTGTATAATGTTTTCACATTTAAAAATGCTACTTGAAGGAATAAACTGAAACTAACAGATTTTATTTCTCTCTCTTGCAGATGACTTTCGCAGGAATATTCATCATTGCGAAAAGGGCATTTGATAACTGCTGTTTCTGAATACTGAATAGCACTTGCAAGACATTCCCTGAAACAATATTGAAATTTCGTTTTAAAATTATCCATGTTATTGCACAAAAATTTTAATAATTAAACAATTTTTAACATTTTTTAAATGCAATCCATAGACAAAATAATTCATCTGAAACTACTAAATGACATACTATTAAAAGTAACTGGAAAATAGCAGTCAACTTACATCCTTCTTCATAGAAACTAAACTAGCTTATTCAGAATTAATGGGTTTTACATGAAACAATGAGAAGGTCTTATGACTATATTCAGACATCATGCTTACCCATTACTGGCACTGAATCACACTGTTCGGTGACAATTTTTGTTTGCTCTAAAGTCACAGACATATATGTACTAATAATGACTTTTCAAGCCACTCAATTGTTTAATTTTTTGGGAAAAAGTTTCTAATATTTCAAAATATTCCAGTTGCTTGAGCTTTCCTGTTAGTTCAATGTCAGATGGTTGGGCTACAGTAAATGTGGATTATTGGTACATAAATAATTAATTAAAATGTACTCATTCTCAAGCACTATTTAATAAAAAAGCTAATGCTCTTATATGTTTTTAAATGAAGTATAAGGAAAATTATGCCAATACAATCTGCTGGAAAATTGTAGCAGAGAGAAAGGACTAAATGGCAGGAAAATATTTCAAGAAAAGAAATAGAACTTTTGTAAAAATACCATGAAGAATTTTATATAAAAAGAATTTGTGCATCTATCAGTGAAATTACTTTCAAAATAATGTTCATGTTGCTAAAATAGAGATTAAAAAATATTTTTAAAAAATATTTCTATTTTACTTCTTACAAAAAAAACCTTCAACATTATGGCTTTTCCCTAAAATGAATACCTTCAACAGCTATCACTTTCTATTGCAATTGGATTAGCAACAGTACTAGCAATTAACAGAAGGTAACTAAAACTGAAATCCTAGATTTATTATAAGAAAATTCTCCATTCTTTAGATCCTTCCTATTTTCCCACTGTTTGGTCTACTTTCATTATCAAATGATTTTGTTACAGTCTACTTTCATTACCAAATGATTTTGTTACAGTCTACTTTCATTACCAAATTATTTTGCACTGTGCTTTGCTTCAATCACCATAAATATAACAAAACTGTAGAGACATTTACTGAGGAAAATAAAGAACAAACATGATATTGAAAAAGGGGAGAACAAACTTACATTCCTCCCTTTCCCAAGTTCTTTTATCAAAAAATACCTCTGTCTGATATAATAGGTTTTTAGTATTTTATTCATAGATGTCATAATATATTTGTAATACATAGGGGTATTATTTAGCATTATTTTAGTAATTAGTTAATACCTCTAACTTTGAAATGAAATTTAGAATTTTCTAAAAAAAAAATTCCTTCTGCTGTAAGCCTTAAGTAAAATTGTATAAGTGTAGGCATAGTGATCATAGACTTATGATCGAATTTTTCCTAAGATAAAAAAGTAAATAATGTTGCTATTTAAGTCAGAATGTATGGAAAGTGGAAGGAAATTTAACTCTTGTTGAATCTCAATACCTTTTCTACGTCAGAAAATATAGTTGGTATTCATGATTAGTTCAAATGAATTAATCACGAATGATGATAATCATCCATGATTGGCACCATGATCACATGAGTGGCATCAATGACTTAATCATGAACTAAATTAATCATTCACTATTAGCTCTAATTGTGAATCAACATAAGATTTGACCAATTCCACTGAATTAGAATAAGATTACTTTTCACAGCCCACATTACAATATTTTAGCAAATGCTTAAATTTTTCAAATTACAATGCGAATTTTGAAATAAAAAATGTTGAACTTGCTCCTGTTCTTAGAGATTGTTCCATCAATATTTTTGATAAGAGTACTAGTATAAATTAATTATCATCATGTCAGTACTTACCCCCCCCCCCCCCCGCAGAGTAACATGAAATTGATAAACAGATTTCAGAATGGTTAGAGAAACAAATCACCTCTCTGTCACTTTCTTCATGCCTTTATCCATTTTTTGCAGCAATTCCACTTTTTGTTTAATGGACATCGAAACATGCTTTCGCTTTGTAGATCCTTTGGCAGCTCCTGAATTGGAAACTCTTTTTGACATAATTGAAAGTTGAAGCTTACTTTTTATAAAATTGCTCTAACAGACTGCAAAAAATAATAAGCCAGATCCAATTCGAACATTAAGGAACAACGCAATCTGCAACATTAACTGAAATAGATAATTAGATAATTTTAGCTTAGCTTATACTGTCCGTTATACATTAAACGTGCATGCGTAAACGTATTATGCGCATGAGCAAAGGTATTATGCGCTACACATGCGCAGAAAGTTTGTAGCTTTGAGGTCCGGATTATAGATGTCCGAATTAAAGACTTTTGACTGTATTCTTTAAAAAAATCGCGTAATACATTTAATGAATTTTTATTTTTCATAACAACACTAAACAAACGTTTTGCTCTAAAACAAATGCAATTTGCAAAATAACGATTAGAATAAATGGTACTTTCTGATTATCTGCACTTTCTACCTATTACCATCACCAAAAATCACACACTCATTGGTGAATTTGGAGAGATAATATGAAAAATATGATAAAGCTTAAAAATCAAGAACTCTTAATAAAAAATATATTTCATTCATTACCGGCAAAAACTATGTAAACATTCCTGCAGTACTGCTCCTTCTTCACATCCAATATCTAGAAAGCAGATAGGGCATTCAAATGGTTCGACATTTGCCACAAGATCAACATCATCCAATGCCAAAAGAGTACGGTAATCTGTTTTCTTTTCATATTCAGCCTCCCAAGCTTTATGAAATTCACTCTTTATGGAAAAGAATTAAAACATTAAACATAAATTCTGTCAAAGAGCATGGAAACCAAAAAATTCAATAAATAAATACATAAAGAGTAGTGAATAATCATTTAATTTAATGATCCAGGATGAAGCTTCCATGTTTATGTAAGCAGACACTGCTAATACACTTTAAATACAATTCTACAATGAGATGGCATATAACATAAAACTTTATGCAATATATTCTTATGTTTCTTTTATTAGAATATTATCATATATAATGAACAGTAAATACACATTTCTAAAAGATATTTTTTTACATTAAAAATCCATTTATTTAGAGGTAGTGGTTTCAAATTACCACTAGTAGAATATTTAACCCTCTCGTTGTGCATCCCCGGATTTCAACGGGCAAGTAGTGCAAAACTGATATGCAAAATATTACATTATGCAAATATTTTCATTAGTATATATGTTTTACCTTTGTATTTTATAAAATAAATCATAATTTAACCAATATTAATTTTCAAAATTTTCCTTTTATATCATTATTCTTCAATTTCAGTATTCTGACAACCTTTTTCTATGATGTAATTCTATATTGGAAAAAAAAACTCTTTTACAAAAAATTTTTGTATATTTTAACTCTAAAATATATGTAGATTTGAAATATGTAATATAAAAATATGCAATTTTCGAACTTATTTTGATAAAAAAAAAGTACACATTGAGAGGGTTAATTTCAAATTTTTGTATTTAACGATATTTTATTTTATGCAACTCCTAATTTGCCTTTGTTTCCATCCAAAACTCTACCTTTGAAATAGAATGATCATTCCTGAAGGCTTTCCAGACTGCTTTGGGTGAAAGAATAAGTCATTTTTACACATGTCTACCACACTAAGCATAATGCCAATACTTATAAGTCTTGATAATTGTTACATTATATGTCTATCATTTGGTTTTTCCTATGGCCCAGAAAGCAACAAGAAATTTATAGTAAAACTAAAGGTTAAGGTTTCAATACTTCAATTTATTTAGACATAGTAAATAACGCTCATATTATAAATTAAAATATCTCACTTTAGGTTTCTTCTTAGTTACATCATTTTTTCTCAGCTGATTAACTTTTGCATAAGTTTTGTTTTGAGCTGGAACATCTGTAACATATAATGAAAAGGCATATTTTAAGCATGTACTGAAAGTCTGTAATATGCAGAATATTACAGAATCCTGATGTTTTTAAACAAAAAGTGAAGAAAATGCATTTTTATATTTACTTTTAATTTCACGTGAGATTACATAAACAAAAGCAGAGTGTTAATTAATATTCTAAATAAATTACTACCCGCACTAAAGGTACTGCTTTCATGTTTTTTTTTTCCTAACTTTATTAAGAACTTTTTTGGCTGAAAAATTTTCTTTACAACCAGATATCAAAATCATTGGATATTCAAATGAAAATTCCAAAGTCCATTTCATTTATCTGCTACAAGCAGATTAAAATTTGTGAATGAATTTCAATTCTTGTTCATGAAAAAAAGAATCTCTAAAAGAGTGTTACCCCATTACTGTTTATCTAACAAAAAGAAAAGTACAAGTATTTTACAAATAGTAAATAGTTTTCAATATTTAAATTCGAATCTAGAACCTTGATCCATTTGCCACCCAAACATAAATAAAATTAGAATAATAATATACAGTATTAGCACTCCATCGGGCGTGTTGATCTGACAGATACAGATGTGCCAAAATCTCTACTTTTGTCGCCTTAAACTCCTTCTCAGAACCTTGAGCTTATCAGTATCTGTCCATCTGGTCACCCCCTCCTTTGGAATGCAGTAAAAACCAATTTAGTGTAGGAATATTTCCTGTTTTTAAGCTTATTTGAAAATTTGTATCTGTCAGATACACGCACCCGATAACATTTGTCTCCTGAAGCTTTATGGAAGTATCAAGATTTTTAATAGATTTTTGATTTATTTTTCCCATGATGAGTGCCAAACACTTTTTAGATTTGAATAATCAAAAAGACCTTGAACTAGTCCATAATATTCTGTTTAGTGATGGAAATGAGGAATTAAATGCTGAAGAATTTGATGAAAGTGATGATGAAGAAGAGGATATTTTAGAAACATTTGAAGTGGATTCTGAAAGTATTGAAAGTGATTATAATGACAGAACTTGATGATGATGCTAGCAATGGCGATTTTTATGTAGGAAAAGACAAAACCACTAAATGGGCAAAATCTCCCGGAAGAAAAAATGTCAAAGTTAGATTGCAGAATATTACCACAAAATTACCTGAAGTAATCGGAAATGCGAAAGGTATAAAAATTATATACGACTCATGGAACTGATTTTTTTTTTTTTTTTTTTTTTTTCCCTGATGAAATATTGGAAATAATTGTGAAATACACTAACAAATACATTTCTACAATTTCTGATCTATTTAGTAGAGAAACAGATGCAAAACTAACAGATATAATTGAAATAAAAGCATTTATAGGTTTACTTTTATTAGCTGGCGTTTTGCTAAGTAATTGACAAATTTTGGAAGAACTGTGGTTTGCTGATGGAATGGATATTGAGATGTTTAGAATGGTAATGAGTCTGAAGAGAATTAAATTTCTTCTAAGATGCTGTAGATTTGATGATAAAGAGGCAAGGAATGAGAGAAGGAAAACAGATAAATTAGCACCTATTAGAGAAATTTGTGGGAAAATGTAAGCGTAATTATTGCGTGGGACAAAATGTTACGATAGACGAGAAATTGGAAGGTTTTAGAAGAAGATGCTCTTTTCGCCAGTACATTCCATCAAAACCAAATAAATATGGCATTAAAATTTTTGCAGCAGTTGATGCTAAAATGCTTTATACATTGAATTTAGAAATATATGCCAGAAAACAGCCCAAAAGTCCATTTAGTGTCAGCAATTCCCCACTAGATGTTGTTCTGCGATTATCGGAACCAATTTTCAACAGCGGTCGCAATATCACCACATATAATTGGTTTACCTCTATTGATGTTGTAAAAGCCCTAAAAGATAAAAAAACTATCTTATGTTGGAACAATAAGAAAGAATAAAAAAGAAATACCACCCTGTTTTATGAAATATACAGGAAAAGAAGTACATTCAAGCTTATTTGGTTTTTCAAAAAACTGCACTTTAGTTTCATGCGTACCGAAAAAAGGCAAAAATGTTTCACTTGTAATCAAGTATGCACTTGGATGATGCTATAGATGCAGACACTGGAGATGAAAAAAAAAAAATGTTTTTTTTTTTTTTTTAATTTTATAAAATGATACAAAATGCGGTGTTGATGCTCTGGATAAGATGTGTGGAACTTATAATTGCGCTTGCAGTATAAGGAGATTGCGATGATAGTATTTTATTCGATGCTAAATATTTCAGCTATAAATGGTCTAGTTGTATTTTTGGGAAATCGGAATACTGTTCAGAACAGGAGAGAGTATTCTAAAATACTGGTGAAGGAATTAGTCAATTAAGAAGTTGTTAGGTGCATGACTAAACCCAATTTATCAAAGGATTTTCAAATCAAACTTCAAACCTACAGTCCAACTGCTGAAGAAGGAAAAAAAGCAAAGGTTCCCAGTAATCAAAATAAACGCAAAAGGTACTCTACATGTCAAACAAATAAAAAAAGTATATTGACCCAATATTCCTGCATAAGATGTGCTGAATATTTTTGTTTGGAACATGCAGTAATGATGTGCCAGAAATGTTCAAATGAAAACCAAACAAAATTTAGAATCAAATTAAAGTATAACTGATTTATTTTGTCATTTTATATTATGTATTTTTATGTGATATTAATTAGTGAACAACTGCCATATTAACTTTTTTTCAACTGTATTAACATGTTTCATTGTGTGTGTTTTTAAACGGCATTTTAACCTATGTAATAGCGATTGTAAATAATAAATAAAAATATTAAAAAAATAAAAAATATATATAAAACAAAAAGAAAGTGTAAAAGCCTGGACCTAAAAAGAATAAAAATAGAAGATTTAAAGTAAAACAGATCACCAGAAAACTCGTAAAATAGAGATGTATCTAACAAATACAGCGCGCCCAAGCCGCAAGTTTTGAGACGCGCCCGACAGAGTGTTAAATATGTGCTATTATGAAAAAAAAAAAAAAAAATAGAACTAAAAATATGAATATTTTTGCTTCTAATAATGGCAAAATATTAAACAAAATGTGTAAAATCAAATTACCGGCCCTTTTTGAAATATCTCCTGAAACCTGTTTATGCTTATCATTTAAATTTCCATAAGAAGGCATTTTAGTTTTACTCTTTCGACGTCTCCGTGGAGTATTTACTTCTTCCTCACTCGAATCACTGGTATTTGCTTTCTGATGACATCTTAAACGAGATGATGGCCTGGATGGTAAAGAATGGCTCTTTGAATCCTTTGCCATGACATATAATAAAATAGGAGATCCAGGTTCGGTAACACCATAGCTTGCTAAAGATGCATCTTCATTGATTGCAAATGCTTCACCCAAAATCCAACATTGTTGATGGCGTGGAAATTTGTATTCTTTTTCAATCTAAAGCGATAATATACAATTACAAATTAATAGGAATTTTTTTTTTTAAAAAAGGAACATATTTTACCTATCTATCAAAAATCAACATAATTTTGCTTTATAATTTTATCCATTACATTCAAATGAAAATTCATCAATATCAATCAGAACGAAAACAAATTTTCCATATATCACCACAACATACTGAAAATTTTATAAAACAACTTAAAGACTGCTAAACTTCTAAAACTGCAAATTTGTAATTAACACTCCAATAAATTAAAAATGTTTTCACATCCCTGCAAATAATTTTTATGAATATCAGGAGGAAAAACATATTACCAAAATATAATATAACATTAATATATATATGTGTTACAAAATAATGTATGAAACACCAGCATTCTATAAAATACTTCAGCATTTTATAGAATGCCTGGGTTTTTTATGCAAGTATAAAACATAAGAATTGTTATATACTTTACCTAGGCATTCTAGCGAATGACAAATGCTCTTTAGGAAAAATATGAGAAAAGGGTATTGATAAGGCTATTATTTACAAAACACATAAAAAATTAGACTATCTTAGTACCCCATAATAAATTTATATTCTATATATGGATGAGACTGGAAATCAATAAGATTTACCTGAGAACAGGAATTATATTCAGAAAAGTCATAAGTTTCACAACAGAGCCCTTTTTAATACTTTTTTGTTTTTCCCCTTGACACTTTCTTTAACAGGGTAATTGAGTTTGCTTTCCCCAAACATCACATCATGGCGATTCAGCAACCAATTGTCCCATGGTTCTTCTTAGTAGTTATTTTGGCCTTTTTTCACATCATTTATTAACTTCTGGTAAGTAGTTAGTTAAGTAGTAGCAGATATTTAGTTATTTCATGCATTACCTGCCAGTTTTTAGCATTCTACAAAATGCCTAGGTATTCTATAAAATGCTAGATTTTATACTTTGCTGGTAACATATATATATGTATATATATTATTTTTATCATTCTTTAATTTTTTATGCCACTTCTTACATTTTTTTTTTTTTTTTTTTTTTCATTTTCATACTAAAAATCTTATTTACATCTAGGCTTAAAATAACTTTTCACTTTTAATATACAGACACTGTGGGGGGGGAAGATAGCCTCACACCATGGTTTGGAGCTACCTTCCCCCTTCCCACATTTCTTCAGCACCTCGAGTTCTCCTCCTCACGCATGCTTGATAAGAATCTCATCTCTGCGTGACTGCAAAAAAGAGAACTTTTGCCTTCTGTTCTTTACGAGTCCATGTACACACTGTATTCATCGCTGAGATTTACGTTATCCTAACGCTATGTATATATTTTTATTTATTAAAAGAGTTTATTTTTCTAAATGGGTGTCTAGTAGTTAATTAGATCCCAAACCATCATTTATTGGCCCTATACAGTTTTCCTCAGATAGGATAATCTTTTAAAAAAATCCTTTCTTTTTGAACTAAAAGTTTAATTAATATATATTAGTTTCTGGTGTATGTATGAGCTTGTAAATATACATATATACATAAACACATATATACCAAAAGAGACAAATTATCACACAAACTGTTCAATACCGCATCATTCCACCTTTGCATGGTTAAAGCATCAATAGGCTTGGGAAGAAATTTGATGGGGTGCTGAAAGTGAGATGGTGATAAAATCACCTGCAATCCTAGTTTCCACCATAAATTCATCATGCAGCACAGTGATGAGCCCAGACAATGAAGAAGCTATTACAGCTCGTCCTACAGATGCTTGAAAGCATTTATAGCTAACTGCATGACAGGTAAATACTCCAAACTTACTGCTATGCATGTAGAAGCCAGTAGTTCAATGTAGCTCAAGCTCATCAAGGTTCCATTTAGTGTGATAAGAAAACTCAGTGTGGATTATGTTAACATGCCATAGACAGTTACATTGCCACCAATGGACTGTACAGCATGTATTGTCTAACACAATACATGCAGTTCTTCATATGGTTTACACACATAAACTCTGCCCCCTTCCAACCTGCAGTAGCTGGAATCTCCTTTCACTGGATCAGATGACATGTTTCCAAGCCTCTATAGCCTAGTAGTATGGTTATTTTTTTTATATTGCATCTTTGAATGGTAATTCTCAATGGCTTTTGCTGAAATTTTTTAAGCATATATTTTCCAGTAAATTATGTTTTACACAACATGTTTTAAAATGCCATTGGTAGGTCATAGCAATGATTAATTTTCAAGTGACACAGTTTAGATTCAAGGAAGGGGACTTTCATGACGTGATCAATGCTAAGGTGAATTTTAACCTAATCGGCATCCTCTTTTGACTCTCTTCCATATAACATCGAGTAAGAAAAGACAGTAGGAAGGGGATGTCACAAGGCTTATGTATGTTATGCTGCAAGACAGAGGAAGTATTAAATTATTAAACTTATGCAAATTATATTATTTATTTGTTTTTGGTTTAAATGTCTTGTCCTGTACAAGGTGCTTATGATTTATGGAAATGCCTATATTAAATCTATGTTAATTATGCAATGAACCCAAAATACGACAGAAACGTCACAGTGATGTCAGAAAAGAGGAATATATTTATAATGACTTACATACATTTGAATTGGATTACGAATGTTCCAGTAAAGCGTATGTAATTCCTCAAAAAAGCAAATGTTTTGTTAAATTTATTTTGTTGGAAATTGAAGTTTAATCATAACAGAAATAGCTGAAGCAGAATTTAGAAAAATTAACAAAGACCATAAAGTTATTCTTTCAGCCATAATTAAAGTAAGAGGTTGTACTGAATCTTTAATTGCTTCTTACAATACTGAAGAAAGTAAGAAGTTGTATTGAATCTTTAATTGCTTCTTACAATACTGAAGATATAAATGAGCAATTAGAAATTTTAAATGTAAAAGCAGTTTTTTGAAAGTGTTCTATGAAAAAATTAGAGATTTAAGTAATATAAATGATAGTGAAACTGAAATCAAAAGTGTCCTGGAATATGAAGAACTGACTGTAAAACAGGGTTTCAGAGCCACAAAATTATTAAAATAAAAAGGAAATTTTGATAATTCACTAGTTTCTAATGGTCCTTCTAATTATAGTAGTAATGTATCTATTATTTCTGGATTTAACAACATTAAATTGCCAAATATTATAACTGGTAAATTTTATGGAGATGCTGAAGTGTGACAAACATTTTATACTTTTGGTATGGTAAAAAAATCAAAATGAAAAGTTATCTTAAGTTGATAAATTCAATTATTTGCTTTATTAGGTGCCCTTTAAAAACTGTTGAGAAATTTTCATTACTCCAGAGATTTATGATGAAGCACTTAAAATTAAGAAAAGATCTGGTCAGAATAATCTCCTTATTAATTCTTAAATGCATAAACTGTTAAATTCATGATCTATCCCAAGCTCGAATGATATTCATGCTTTGAGAGAAATACATGATACCTGTAATGTACAAATAAGATCACTACATTCATTAGGAAGCAAAACTGAATCATATAAATGTTTACTTTATTACTCCAGAGATTAATGAAACTTTATTACTTTGTTAATGAAATGCATTCATATGGATTTAGCACTTGATTTTACACATCAGAAAGCAAAAGATGAAAATTTTAATGTCAATAACCTCAAATTTCTAAAACAGGAAACTAAGAGTAGGAAACACACTTCGTTAAATTTATCTTGTACTAACAGTTATATTATCAATTCCACTCCTTTCCACACATAAAAACTGCGAGTCTTATATTGATGACATGACTTAATGACATGATTATATTTCCCAGTGACTAAAATATGACTAAAAGTTAAAACATTATGAACATTTTGACTATTTCATCTGAACAAGTTTTTTTAGAGCTAAAATGTTATTTGAAATTCTTCTAATGTTATGTAATATGATTAATATTTAGCCATGGTTTGGTAAAGTATGATAAGTTTGTACAATGTACCTATGATTTATAGAAATGCCCACATCGCATCTATGTTAATTATGCAATGATCCCCAAACACAATGGAAGCATCACAGGGACATAGCCAAATTAAAATGAGGAATTAAAAGGGCTATCCCTAAATTAAAGTTAGTAATCTTTCTTCATATTTTATATATTATATATAAAAAAAACTTGGTACTTATGGAAGTTTACAGTCCCATTGGCATCTTGGTGAAAATGTTAAGTTTGAAGATGCCATATTTCAGTGATTGATTTTAATATGTTATCAAATGCATTTTGTCATCCCAATCTCTTTCTCCATAAATTCTACTAGGTATGATTGAAGATGATAGCAAGTAATGCCTATTTGTTTTTTATTTCACCACTTAGCAGAACACTAGAGTCTCTCGATATTTTGTGCATATATGCCTTTAGTGGTATTTATGGTTTACAGTCATATGACAATAAACTGCTTTTTCAAGATCCTCAGTTTTATATGCATGTCACCAATCTAAATAAATTATGGATCCTTCCTCTACCTATTTGACTGTCTTTGCGATCAGAGCCACAAAATTATTAAAATAAAAAGGAAATTTTGATAATTCACTAGTTTCTAATGGTCCTCCTAATGATAGTAATAATGTATCTATTATTTCTGCATTTACAACATTAAATTGCCAAATATTATAACTGATAAATTTTATGGAGATGCTGAAGTGTGGACACACATTTTATACTTTTGGTATGGTAAAAAAATCAAAATGAAAAGTTATCTTAAGTTGATAAGTTCAATTATTTGCTTTATTAGGTGCCCTTTAAAAACTGTTGAGAAATTTTCATTACTCCAGAGATTTATGATGAAGCACATAAAATTAAGAAAAGATCTGGTCAGAAAAATCTCCTTATCAATTCTTAAATGCATAAACTGTTAAATTCACGATCTATCCAATGCTTGCTTCTCTATTCACTACCTGAACTACAAAACATTCGCCAGTTTCATAGCACATCTCGCTGAATACCCACTGCTAGGGTAGAATTCTGCCATTGTTCTTCTGTTGAACAAACAGGCTTTCACCGAGTTCAACTATTTTCTCAAAACCTTTTATTATTTTTTTAGCCGTTGGAGGAGATCTGAACAACATGCTTCTCTCATGATATTGTCCCAATCAATCGTTGTTCTATCACTGATATTTAGTTGCTTTTCACAACACTTAAATGAAGGGAGCTCTTCAGTTCAACAGTAAATAAATTTCAGCACTGTTGCAAATGGAATTCTTGACCTACTAAACCAATTATCAGATCGAATGTCTGTTTTAAGTTTGTAATTCTTCACATTGCACTGCCATTTGCATTGATGCACAGTTTCATTTTGTGACTATTTTCACAGGTTCGATTATGAGGCAAAATGGCTCTTTCTTGAAAGAAAACTATAGAATCCTCTTCACTTCTTGAAAAATTGAAAACAGTAAACATTTTTGGAACAGAAAATATTAATTACAGTCAAAAGTCGTTAATCTGGACTCGTCAGGACTTCGGCGATTCCGGATTATCGATCATCAGTTTAAATCTCGTAAGATGGCATGCAGAAATTCTAAAATTAAAAATTTGAAACTGTAATTTATGAAATAAAGAACAATTATGATCTAAAGGATATCAAAATTTGCAAAAAGAAAAAGCTTAATATTTATTTGTTTACTTTATTAAACATTTCTTTCAATGTAAGTTGTTTAAGTTTTGCTTCGTTTCATGTGATAATACTTTCTCTTTAATTCTATTAAACAAACATAATTTCTTGTTCAGTTACAAAGTTCCGCTGTTCAAGTCCTATAATTGCTGTGTCGAGAACACCGACTAATTTGTCATCGAAATTTTTTCGTTTTCCATAACCTCTGTCACTTTTCTTCGCTATCGGAAGTGAATTATAATGACGAGGAACTTGTTTTAAATCATATCAAAGACGGAGCATATCGAGATGAAATACTACATCTGGTAAGGAAATAATTAAATATAAGCCAAATAAAATAAAAACATCTGTGCTGAAGATAAGGATAGTGCTGACAGATCAACTTCCAATTCATTACGCGCACGCCGCGGCATTCCCCCCGCCGAGCAGCGTGAAATTGATAAAGAGATTTCGGATTTCAAAGCATACTTTCGCTTTAGATCCTTTACATATTAACAAATATATATCGGAAATTCTATTTGATATAATCGAAAGTTTAAGCTTACTTTTATAAAATTGCTCTTACAGTCTGCAAAAAATAATAAGCTGGATCCAATTCGAAAATTAAGGAACAACGCAATCATCAACATTAACTGAAATAGATAATTAGATAATTTTAGCTTATACATCCATTATACATAAAACGCACGCGAAACGTATTCTGCACTTGCGCACACTCATATGCGCAGTCGTAAAAGGTCTTACTCGCACGCGTAAACGCCTATGCGCATGTGTCAACGTGGCGCATGCGTAGAAAGTTTTTAGTTTTAAGGTCCGGATTATAGATCATTGCGGATTATGGGTGTCCGAATTAATGACTTTTGACTGTAATATAATATGATGAGCAATTCAAAATTCACATTCATTAACACCTGGCTAAATGAAACCGCAGCAATTCAGAATTCATGATACACAACATGACTCAAAGAAACTTCAGCAATTCAGAATTCACAATAAATAACATATGGCTCAATGAAACTGCAATAGTCTGGAATTAATGATTTGGCCACGGTTTTCAACTATCATTGGCGATTTATCGCTGGACCATAAACTTCCATAAGTACCAAAAAATTTATATATATATATATACACACACACATACACACACATATATATATGGATTTCATACCTGCTTCTTTAATTTCTTTAAAGACATTGAAGGAGTTATAAGCAAAGGTATTGGTCCACGATGAGAGGATTTATCTTCAATATACAGACCAACCCTGAAATAAAATATGTAGATCTGTTGCATGCATAATCATAAATACAAAGAATAAATGAGAGGTAAAATAAGACAATTTAAATATTCCATTGTAAGGTTGGTAATTTCACCAGAGCATTTTGAACAGTTCCAAAGATATAACAAAAATAACTTACATAATTGGCTGATTCAGTTTTAAGCTATGATTTCCAGAATTACAAGAAACAGGATTTTTTCCTAGGAAAAAAGTACAATTGAAATATATATCAAACTGCTCATTATCATATTAAATTTAATAAAAGTGTTTTTATTTTATGCTAATATATTCTATCTAATTTACTCATATTTGACATAATATTTTGTTTCTTTAAAGAACCTGGTCTCTGCTAAAAAAATCCATATATAAAACCACATTGATTTGGAGATTGTTGAAAACATAAAAAAAAAAAAAAAAAAAAAAAAAAAAGGTTTTTAGTATTTCAGCTTCAGCATTCCCATCCAATATATTGTGCTGCTTACAATTTGTATTCTGTGCTGTCATAGTTTTTATTCCTGGCAGCTTCAAACAATCTATAATGCCTAACACTTTTTTATACGAAAAGGTATAATATATTTTATTCTCATATATTTTATTCTTATTTTCTAGCTCAATATGTAACACATGGTATTAGAATATATTTTATAAATTACATTAATGAAAAGTATTTTAAGTTTAATCTGGAAAATAATCATATTTACTCGTGATAATACAAGTTTTACTATGCAAATATCATTCCCTGTACCTTCATAGCACAAGGTTCTGAAAATATTTTAAATACACATGCAATTTTCCCCTTTTTTCAAGGTGTTAAGAAGTGAACTATTCTAAATTTGAAAATGGCTTTACCTTACTAGCAAATACAAAACACTGCAAATGTTAAGCCAAACCTTCTCCTTCACACTCGCTAATGATAGCAACATGTTAAAAGTAATGAAGCATTTATGCAAAGCCATTGTGAGGCGTAAGTGGCATAAATTGAACATTACTGCTAGGCAGCCAGACCTTGCTATATCATGGAAACTGCTATAAGGATACTGTTTAACTATTCTAACTGTTGATGGCTACCTGAAACAATAGCAGCAAACAACTATGAACTGACATTCAGACAACTATTTTGCCAAGTCCAGCATTTATAACTTTCAGCATCCACAACATAGGTCAGCATGTACAACATGGATTTGCCCATCCATGCATCTACAACTTTACCTTCCAGAATTAGTTCCCAAAAAATACTTTATTTATGAAAAAAAATGTGCAGTCGAAAAAAAATTTTTTTTGAAAGGCATATGTACTAAGAGCACAGTGTACTGCAAATTTTCAGAACCATGGTAAAAGAAAAAAATAGCTACACTGTAAAATTTAAATCAGAAATTTAGATGCTTTTCTCTTAATAGGGTGTCAACTGCCAAATGTGCATCAAAATGCCAAATGAAGTAGCCTATTTACATCACAGTAGCAATAGCGTTATAGCCAACAAATGGGAAGAGACATTAATCCAGGAATTTTCCACCATATAATATATGCATGATGCGAAATTTATGCAATTCCCTGGGAATTTTGAAGTAAAAACATCAGAGAATTCCTCACTTTGGCACCACATACAGCCTTGGCATTGTGCACATTAAGCATTATGTATATCACATTTATAATATGTAAATAGTTATTCTTTTCATGAAGCTTTATGTATTGTTAGGGTTGCTACCATCTAGTTAGATTTCACGCCAAAGTTTATGTTTGGTGCTAAATAGTGCTCTGTTATAAGAAAACAACGTTTTAAAATTCACTGTAATTAACAGTGTTAAACCTGCCAGTAGACAGTTTGGCACTGAACCTAGTTTGATTCGATATTGGAGAAAGAGAAAGATGAATACGCTGATGACATAAATTCAAGGTGGAGAGTATTTTAAGGGCTGAAAATTGGAAAATTATCAGAAATTGATAATAAAATGCTAATTACATGATAGAGATACAAATGAAAGTAAGGGATGAAGTGAAAAAATTTGGTATTACAACTCACAATTTAAAGCAACCACAGGTCGGACTATTTGTTTTATGAAATGAAATGGACTTAGTTTAAAGAGCAGAACAATACTTGCACAATGGTTACTGCATGATTATAGTGGAAAGGTGTTAGAAATTCACAGGATCCAGCAAAGATTATGACTATGATCTTGGTCAAATAACAAACACAGAACAAACTCCTGCATCATTTTTCAAAATGCTTAACAATTACATTCAATCAAAAAGGAGGCAACTTCTGTGTTAATAAAAATTAGAAGAGCAGTGACTGATGACAGTAAAAGAAAAAATTGCTGCCTTTCATCATTTCTAAAAGGAAGGTACTGGGAAAACAAAAACTCCATGATGGATCATAGTATGGATATATAAGGAAGGCTGGAAACAATCCAACCAAATGAAACAGTGACTCAAAACTGTACAGACCTGTCGATCAGGCACTCTTCTACATAAGAATTTACTGCTAATGTTGAACAGCTTCCCTAAGCGGAATGGAAGCAGGGATGTGCCATCCATATAGGTAAGGTCATGCAACACATAACGGTGCCAAGGCCCTAAAGATGCCTGTGGTCATCAAGACCTTAAACAGCACCAAGGCTTTAGAGCAGCCTAGAGTAATTTTATTATCTACCAATACTGACCAGTGGTGAAACTGCACTATTCCTATTCCTCTAGGGGCTCGACGTAGGCACATTTTTCACCATTTGGTCAAATGCTTTCAGATTTAAGCCTGTAAAATTTTAGGTTTATTTTAGGTTAAGTGCTTTTGCAGTCAGTGCAGGTTTATTAATTTTTCATTGCTATCATGAGCAAGTGAGCCATGTGAGTATACCAATATATGTAATCGTAAGTTCTGATTTGCTAACATTGGGACTGTGAAAAATTATTAAAAATAAGGTAAGCGATTAAGTGAATTCACCACTATATAATAATTATAATAATGTTTTATTCAACTTTAAAAATACTTACATTTAACTATACATTCTGTTTACCTAATTTCAATCAATACTTATGAAAATTGGCATAACAGTAATTATAAAACTTAATGATGAATTATGAATTTTCTTTAGTCATTTTTTATATAAAACAAATAAAACTGATAATATAATTATTTTATATAAAAACAAATAAAACTTTGTGCTTCCTAAATTTTTTTTTTTTTTTTTTTTTGGATGGCTAGAGAGGTAAAAAAGAAATTGCCTAGTTATTGAAACTTGGTTACTAAAAGAAAACAGAAAGACAACTTGAGAAGAGGAATTTAAAAGTTAACTTTTTCAGAAGCTCACATTTCCAAGACAGTACTTCTACTGATAACAGTGGTTTTCTAATTTCATCAAAACCAATGTTGCTATCAGAATTAGGTTTGGTTTGGTTCATGTGATTATGACAAAGCCTTGAGGGCTATCTGCCTAAGGAGAGGGATGCTTTCAGAGGATTTTCTAAGGGAAACTGGCTTGTATATGCATTGCACATGAAGAAACCCATGAAAATGTCCAAATGCCAGCACATTCACAGAACTCGAACCTCGGACCAAACTACCAGTGTTCAACGACTTTACCGCTTGGCTGCTGGAAGGCCCATCAGAATGAGGAAAGATCTGATAAAAGTGGGTTCTGATATGTTTTAATCAGTACCATCATGTTTGAGTAGGCAAGATGAAGCAATTGAACACCCTCTATAATGATCCAGCTCTTTGGCTGAGTATATTATCGCCAAACGAAGTGCAAGAACTAGTTCAAAAAGGTCCTATGTATTATCAAAATAAAACTACGTATCCTAAAGAACAAAAATAGATGTAAGTTTTATTATATATATTTCACTTGAATTTCGTCAAAGGGTGAAAAGCTCCAGTTAGATTGGTTACTATATTCTATAAAGAAAAATGTAGTTTTCTGTTTCAGTTGTAAAATATTCAGTGATATCAATAATCCATTGACCTGTAAAAATACTAAATCAAGTAACCAAGATGATTTCATGATTGGCATCACTTAAGCGAATATTGAAAATTCATGAAAAAAGGAAATCTTATTTTCAAAATTTACGTTTTTGGTCATATATATTAGAAAAATTAAAAAATAATCTAACTGTAGATTCCAAAACGTAAAATTTATTAAAAAGTGAAACTAAACACTTGTGCAGTGTTATTGAAAGAATAATTTATATAAATTCAATTTTTGGTTGAACAGAACTTGTAACAAACTGTTTGAAAGAAATAATGAATGTTTTTTTAATTTATAGAAATAATACCAAATACAGTCATCTCTGTACATATTAATAGATTAAAAATTATGCCACTTTATCTAGGAGAAAAATTCACACTTATATGATTAAATTAATGGCCGATAATGTAAGAAATAATATTCTAAATGAAGTTTAAAAAGCATAGCTATAAACTTGCTATAAACTTGATTGAACTCTTGACGTAAGCCACCAGAAATGTGCTTGAGAAGCACATTTCTGTTCACATATTATATGTTAATTTAAAAATCAATGAATTTATTGTTGAAGAACGTTTCTTAACATTCCATCTTATAACTGATATAATAAGTGAAGGTTTAACCAACTTTTTACTGAAAACTTCGGAAAATTATGGTTTAGACATTTATAGTACAGATAAAGAAACGACAATAGTTGGAATATGAAGGGTACACATCACAGTATGCCATAAGAATTTTAGACATTAATTCATGAGCAATAATTGTAGCTTACTGAAAACACAGTTTGCACTTTGTCATGAATGATGCTGTGAAATTAAATACATTTAGTATAAATGTTTTCTCAACTGTTCAAGAGTTAATGGCTATGCTCTTTCGACCCCAAATTCCCTCTCCCCTCGCCGGTAATTTGGTTTTTTGCTTGCTTGAGTTAATCAATGATCTGTTTATAAAAATTAACATTTCAAATTTAACATTAAAACCTTTATCAGATACCAGATGTACTAACAGAATTGCTGCAATAACCCCTTTAAGATTCCATTTAGGCGAAATTTAAGATGTTTCTTATGAAATTTTGTCTGGAAACAATTTTGATAACACTACAAAATACGTTGTTACTTCTCGTTTTAAATAAATTAAAAATTAATAGTTTGTAAGTATGTTAGTGTTGAGATAGAAGGAAGATACCAATATTCAGCAAACTAAAAAATCCATTATTTCACAGACTTAATACCTTTCTTAAAGGA